AATTCCCTCAGTGATTGGTCGAGAAGACCTGCACCTTCCTTTCAACCAATAAAATGCTCGAGTCAATCGTGCCTAAGCGTTAAACGTTACCAGGGATGGCAATGGTTTTCTTTCTCAAATTCCCTTTGTTATTGGTCGAGAAAACCTGCTCTCAACCAATCAAATGCTTAACCCAATCGAGACCTTGTCAGTCTCACTGGCTTCTTGTGGTTATTGCCTCTTTATTGCCTCTGTTCTGATCAGTATTTCGTTAACGGCACGGGGTCAAAATGTTTCTCAATTTTTCAAATTAGAACTGGAGTCAAATTTTTTGATAACGGAATGAGTGTATGGGTTGAAAAAGGCGTTGGAAAAAAACCAACTTTCATAGGGAAAATAACTGGAAGCTTTGATGACGAGAATGAATCAACGTGAAAAAAAAACACACATCAATCACTATTGAAGAAATTTGAATTTTTTGCCATGCATTCTAAAAAGCAGATAAAGTGGTGTGGCCACTTAAACCTGATCCAGTCTGGACAAATAATAGATATTTCAAATATGAAGCTTACTTTTCTCTTGGCCTCATGCTGTTTCTGTAATAACTCCATTGCTCTCTGTATCTCCTCTTCTGTGGCTCCAGCTAACTTGCGAGCTTCTTTTTCCTTCTCCATCTCAGCTTCCATCTCTGCCAACTTAGCTTCTTGTTCTTCCTCCAAACGAACTTCTTCTTCGTCTGCTTCGACCAGGTTCGCCATGACAGTTGAGGGCGCCTGTCGTTAGAAGAGTATTAAGACATAAACCATTAATCTCAGGTTAACAATCAGGTTGATCAAATTCTCTCCAAGTGGTAAACAGTTTTAACAGATTCTCCGTAAAATAAATTTTCAATAATCTTGTGGAGGACCAGTTTTGAAAAAGAGCACCTCTCAGAAGCCTGAGGTCAATTGTAGGAAATTTAAGAGAAACCACTGAGAGGATCTCAATATTGATCAACGGATATCTTACCGCCATAGTTGTGCTTCTTTTTCTCATTGGACGGGAACCCATCAAAGTCGCAGCCACGTTGTCCATCCATCCTTCCCGGCGTGCCATGCGCTGATCAGTCCTGATTCGCACCAAAACGGACTCGTCCTAATGAAAAGAAATTTCACAAATGTGTTACAAAAGGCACGTCATTCATGGGTTGAAAAGCCATCGTCATAAAGAAAAAATTATTCATACAACACTAAAAATAGGATAAACACTCAGTCTTTGGATGTTTACAAAAATGAAACTTAGCTGACTGAGAATCGCAAACATTCCAACAGATTACGGACTCATTCTGAAACTCCACTACCAAATATGGAGGCTTCTAACGACCTTTCCGCGCCATTTTCCTTGAGTCCTTTTTGACATTAGACACTTTAAGATCGACGTTTACCGCGGACTACAAACCTCTTCGGGTCACCTGATCCATCTTAAGCCTCACGTTTGCCAGAATTTCTCCAAGTTTTCGACGGCGAGAGGTTGGTTTTCGCGTAAGTAACTGATTTATCTCAGCTTTTATTTGCATTATTATTTCGTCACCCCACGTATGCCCGTCACTCATACACAGAAATTACCTTCTTCACTCATTCCATACGAAATTTAACATCGACAAGCCAACAGTTTTGTTTTTACGAGGTTTGAAAGACTGCTTCACAACCTAAAAATCCAATATGGCGGCTGGAAAACACATGCTCATGATTCTTAATACACGAAGGAGGTATTCCGCAAACGGCAAACTCGAAACCACGGTTTGCGGTCCGCAGTAAACTTCGATCTTAAGATGATCGTTGACTAACCTTGTCGGCGCCTAAAATGTTGGCAACAGCATTGTTCTCAATCTTTTGCTTTTCTTGTAAATCAGCCATAATGAGAACGGATATTTTTTCTTGAAGTTTCTCTTCGTCAACGCCTTGTGTTAACAGTTGTGCTCGTTTGTTCTCTATATGGAGAACCAATGCGTCTTTTAAGAGTTTCATGTGTTTAAGTCGGCTCGCAGCAATACGAGTTGCGTTCGCTTTCTTCTCCTCCTGTTTAGTTGACAAGAGCCAAGAGCAAGAGAAATGTAAGTTACATCATGAAAATGAAAGAAAAAAAGTAAGGGCGAAGTGAAATTCTAGTAAATGATGGCTAGGGAACCTTAGGAATGATACTAATATCAAATGACTGAAAACGATATCCTTGTAACAAAAACGAACAGTAACGTAAGAAGAGAAGCGCAGAGAAGAGAGAAAAATTGAATGAAAGAACGAAGGCGCGGAAAAAGGAATGGGTGCTGGGTGAGCGACCGCAAGTCAAGCGAGAGGCAATTTGACGAACTTAACACCACATTGCTGAAAACTGACATCATACCAGCATTTGTACATAACAACTTGTGCATTAAAAAAAAATTGACATTTTTCCTTTTACACCTCTTAAGAGATGTAGCTGAGGCACAACAATGGAACCATAAGCTACTAATACAGCGTTCTCCAAAACTGTCCATACAGCCTTTCCGGGTCAGATTTAGCAGTGGACATCCACATTTTGACTTTTCTCGTCCACTGTTCAACTTTCCAAGTCGTAATGGAATTTGGAGCGTTGGTTTTTCCGGAGGGTCGAAAGACAGAGAACCGGGAGATAAACACTGCACTCATGTACGTGAGCCAACAAAAATTCAACCTACACGCGACGTCAGGTTCGGGAATCAAACCCAGGTCACTGTGAAGAGCCTCGAGTGTGCTACGTGCTTTCCCTACTGCGCCATCACTGCCCTCCTACTCTAAAAAGGAAATTTAAGGGGGAAAAAGGGGGGGGGGAGGAGGGTGAGGTGGAAGGAGGGCAAAAAAAAAGGAGGAAAATTCCGTACCTCTGTTTGTAATTCATCAGGATTAGCCTGCATAGCATCCCTAACTGCATCCATTCTCCAAGCTTTCCTCTCGTTGCCTATTTCAACCACTCGAGTTTGTCGCTCCGTCTCATTTAAATACCTGGCTGCAGCTAAACCATCTTGGTCTGCTTCAGCTTTGGCCAAGAGATCTGTGAGTGCCTAGATGGGTAAAAAGAAATTCTTCTCCGTGATTTCGACACATTTCTCTAAGGAAATTTTCAACTGACGGTGAAAAATAAATCGAGATTTGCATTGGTCTGCTCAACTCTTTACACCCTAATATCAGTCAGCATATTCTCTATAACATTCTTCATACATTTCATAAGGTGCTGACAAGGAGAATTTGTGTAACTATCAAGAGCTTCTTTAGTTGGTGATCATATCTGTTATTCTCCTGACCTTCATGAGTGATTCAGGGGTGATATTGTAAGAAGAGATTAGATGCAAATCACTTTTAGGGGTGAAAGGGTTATCTTGCGCCACACACTCAGCCAATACGATAAAGAATCAATCACATCCTCTTTTTCGCGCGTGTTTTCACATTTCTGCCACTCGTGTTTCCACGCTTCTGTCATTCGCCCTTTTTTTGCGACTCCTGTACAGACGCAGTAGTCAATTTGCTTTCAAGTGGGTTCACGAAAGTAAGTAAGTAACAAGGGAATAATATCAGAACCAATCAAAATCCATTTGGCAGTCTTACGGAACAATTTATTTCAAGAACATTTGACGATTGTTGCCCGAGGGTGTATATTCGAGTACCCGTTGCCTCCTCGTGATATTTTCTGTTGTTCTTAATGGCTGCTGTATTATTTCGGTTGTGGTTTTTATGTCACGCAATCGAGGTGCGCTCTTTTACGATTTGAGAGAGTAATATATGGGTAGTTATTTTTTTTTTTTTTAAATAATTCCGAGACCACCTTGTTCTCACACCCCTCCTGAAAGTAGGAAACAAAGATCATTTATAATTCATGTAACTGTTAACGAAAAAAATACCTCTTGTTCTGAGGAATGTTTCCTCTCCACCTCACTCAAAATGGTTTCCTGCAGTTGTGCCAGTCCCCCTTGCTCCACATCCAGTGCGTTTCTCTTGTCAATCTCAATATCCTCCGCCTGTTCCTTCAGCAGTTTCTCCACCAATTCTTTTTGTACCTCTTCACCAGATTTTCCCTTCTTTGCTGCCCTGCGAGCTTTGATGGCCGCTATGCGCTCACGAGCGAGTTGCTCCTGTCTTGCGCGATCCTTCTCAAAGCTGCCACACAAACAGTGTTACTTTATTAAAAAGGGAAAATTTCCATCGAGTCGAAAGTTCTAAGACGACTTTGATTTTACTTTACTTCCGTCCCAATTGACACCTAACCCCTTTGCATCCACCATCCCACCCCAGGGGAGGACATCCATCCCACAGTAATCTCGTGTGTTGGAAATTAACGTCTCCTACCCCTAACCATGCAGGAGACAGGACCTCCATTTATTCGTCCCTATCCGAGAAGACTAGAATATCTAACCATTTCTTGATGTTATAGAAAGGCAGCAAATTCTTCTCAATTATTTTAAGACCTTGAGTGCTGGTCCGGCCGGGGCTCGAACCCTCGACCTCCCGCACAACAGTCCAGCGCACTATCCATTGGGCTGACTGGGCGGCGGTTTCGAGC